GTCAGGAAGAGGTGCAGCAACCGCAGTTAAGGAACGGCTGGGACGAACAAGGATAAGCGAATCAAACTCGTGAGCCTTGTTAGGGTTACACTGGTTAAGGCGACCCTTTACAAGGCTTGGAAGCATGTGGGTAACAAGCCATTGGACGTGGAGAGGGTCATTAATTATACGTATATTTTCTACTTTGCCGAACTTAAGCGCGAGAACGGTTTGTCCAAAACATATGAATTTGGTCTTATTCAATGCAGGATTAAGTGCCCTTTAACCGTCATGAAAACCATTTTTCGATAGGGTAAGTCCTTTACGTGGTATAACCGGAAAACCGAAAAAACGCCGCTTTCGGGGGCCCCCACCACTTAAGCACAACTCCGTCGAAGTCGAAAACTTAGGAGAGTCTTAATGGGCAACCAATGAAGCCATTAAAGCAAATAAATCTTTTGTAGGAATTATTTCCGATTTAATCAATTTTTGTGTTTAATTCTACTGGCCTAGTTGGTAGATCTAATAAATAAATAAATACTACAAAGTAAACGATTATTTAAATGACAGCTAGTAGAGTGCGTGGACTTTACCTGAATAGCACTTATTACGTGTCATGTAAGCTATAAATTACTGTATTGGATTGAAAAAGAGGCTGACAAAAGTGACTGAGTTTCTTCCGCCACTTCTCAGCACCAGCCCATATGTTGTCCCGAAGTGGTGGTAGGGCAAGCTATATTTGGGACGTGTATAAGTGCCCTGGAATGGGCCTATGTACAGAATAAACAGAACTAGCTGGTCATAGCTAAAATATGGTATAGACAGTCATAAGAACAAAGCGACACCACAAGACGGTTATAAGAACAAAACGCCAACGCAAGACGGCCACGAGACCGAAGCGACACCGTCCAACGAGATCGAGAAGTGGTATCGTACCTGTAGTTCGGCCCTCAATCGCCGCTGCTCTTCCAACGCTTGCTCCGAGCTCTTGATGTGCTCGTTTAGTTTTTCCACCCTCTTCATTGCTTCGTTACGTTCGTGGCCCTGCAAAAAGTATGTGTAAAGGTTATTATGATGTGTACGAGTGTAATGAGGGCTATTGTATTTGCTGGTTGGCGTCACTGAAATGTTCTGTCACTCGCTAGTGGCAGAGTAAATACAAATGAGTAGGTCATCTTCATAGAAACGCACCGAGCGCGGTTTGTATGTGAGCGCGCCAATACGTATGCGGCGGGCACGCAAACACTGACAAAATTTAGCGTGGATTAGCGGGGTGTTGCGTGTTGTTACTCTGCTAGTGGTTAAGACGGTGGCGCCAACTAGTGAGGATAATTATCACATCGAACTCGTTAGAATGGCGACACTGTAGAGTAAGGTTCTGTCACTGGTCAGTGGTGCCAAAAAACTTATCAGTTATGGGATTTTTCAACAAAAACACTTTTATGAGCAGACGACGGTGCATCTCTTCAGTCTGCCCGCGACCATGACTCGTGCGACCGAGTTGAAACGTCGGGATGGTTAATATCTGTTTACCGTTATAAGTGTTTTTGTCGCAAAATCCCGTGACAGCGATAATTTACAGTAAAAATGCAACATAATAGTTTGAAGTGGTGCCAAATGTTTAGTAATATAAAAAGACTAGCGGCCGCCCGCGACTTCGTACGCGTGGATCGCGTAATTATATTGCTGTCGCGACTGTGCGACGCGCGCCCGCAGTGAGTGTGCGAGCGCGACAGCAACATAATTACGTGCGAGTGACAAGGATGGGCAGCTTGGGGTCATTGGACGGGATTCTACGTGCACACGGACCAGGCTTTAGTTTAGGATGAGTTGCGTGGGCGCACCTCACGGACCAGGCTTTAGTTTAGGATGAGTTGCATGGGCGCACCTTCTGTCGATGTTTGTTCTCGAACTCGCCCTTGCGGCGCAGCTCGTTGTCCAGGCGGTCCTGGTCGGCCTTCTGCTCGCGGTTCACGGAGTCCAGCTCCTGTAGGTAGCGCGCCGCCTGCCGCGACGCCTCCATCTTCAGCTCCTCGTACTCGCGGATCTGCGATACATTATACACTATTATAGAGATGACATAAAGGCTGCGATGCGATGCAGTTTCGGTCACTCGAGCTGAGTGTGGATGTGCATTTCGGTCCAAATGGATAGACGTAATAGACTTAGAGCTAATGAACGCCAGACCTACGTCATTTTATAAAAGCTGAAAGTTTGTCAGCGTATGCTCCTAATATAGGATATAATGTTGGTGAATTATGAAGTTTGGGTCATAGTGGCTTTGGGAGCTACCCAAAAAAACTGTCTGGCAAAGAGTTGGAACAGTTAAAACTGTCTGGCTGTTGGGGAAAATACTTCTAATTATTGTCCAAATATTATACATAAAAATCAGATGTCATGGTGTAGCGTTGGTAGAATTACAGTCAATGAGGGCTATCATTTTAGCGCTCACCAGTTAGCGCCTCTGTAGAGTAAGGTCCTGTCACTTGCTAGTAGCGAAGACAGTGGCACCAACTGGTGAGCGCGAAAGTGGTAGGAGAACTATCGCATTTGCACTCATCAAGATGGCGCCACTGTAGAGTAAGGTCCTGTCAATCGCCAGGGGTGCCAATTGTTAAGTACAAAAAACCGGCCAAGTGCGAGTCGGGCTCGCGCACAAAGGGTTCCGTAGCAGCAAATATAATAAACTTATTATGTCAATTTAATCAACCTATCTCAAAAACTATAAGAGATACTTTGATCAAACCAAAAATCGTTGAAAGAGTTAATTAGCATGCATCACCTCTATTTTTTTTAGAATTTTATACCCCGTAGTTATAAAAATAGAGGGGGGGGGACATACTTTTTACGACTTTGAGAGCTGATATCTCAAAAACCGTTCACTTTAAGAAAAATGTTTTTTAGAAAACTTTATATCATTTTAAAAGACCTTTCCATTGATACCCCACACGGGTATGTACATCGAAAAAAAATTTTCATCCCTCAGTTACATGTATGGGGGGCCCCACCCCCAATTCTTTTTTTTACTATTTAGTGTCATAATTTTGTAGCGGTTCATACAACACATATTCCCATCAAATTTCATCACTGTAGTACTTATAGTTTCCGAGTAAATCGGCTGTGACAGACGGACAGACGGACAGACGGACAGACGGACANGCGAGTCCAAATGGATAGACGTAACAGATTTAGAGCTAATGAACGCCAGACCTACGTTATTTTATAAAAGCTGAAAGTTTGTCAGCGTATGCTCCCAATATAGGATATAATGTTGGTGAATTATGAAGTTTGGGTCATCGTGGCTTTGGGAGCTAGCCTAAAAAAACTGTCTGGCAAAGAGTTGGAACTGTCAAAACTGTCTGGCTGTTGGGGAAAATACTTCTAATTATTGTCCAAATATTATACATAAAAATCAGATGTCATGGTGTAACGTTAGTAGAATTACAGTCAATGAGGGCTATCATTTTAGCGCTCACCAGTTAGCGCCACTGTAGAGTAAGGTCCTGTCACTTGCTAGTAGCGAAGACAGTGGCGCCAACTTGTGAGCGCTAAAGTGGTAGGAGAACTATCGCATTTGCACTCATCAAGATGGCGCCACTGTAGAGTAAGGTCCTGTCAATCGCCAGGGGTGCCAACTGTTAAGTACAAAAACGATAGCCCTCATTGAATACACACAAAAAGCCAGCGGAAAAGTTAGTCGGTGCCGGCGCCGGCGGTGTGCTCCCAGGCGGCCTCCTGCTGCTGCATGCTGCGGGCCTGGCCCCGGGTGTACCTGCGCCTCCTCCAGGTGCACGTCGGCGCGGCGCGCGGTGCCGGCGCCGGCGGTGGCTTCCAGGCGGCCTCCTGCTGCTGCATGCTGTACCTGTGCCTCCTCCAGGTGCACGTCGGCGCGGCGCGCGGTGCCGGCGCCGGCGGTGTGCTCCCAGGCGGCCTTCTGCTCCTCGACCTCTCGCAGCTCGTCCTCCAGCTTGCGGATGTCGGCCTGGTGCGCCTCGTGCGCCTTGCGCGCCTGCTCCAAAGTCTTGATGGCGCTCTCCAGTTTCTTCTGCGTGTGCGTCACGCGCTCCTTCGCCTTGATGAACGTCGGCCGCTTCTTGGATATCTCCGCTTCCTGTTGAATAGGTGACCGATGAAGTTGAATGCTTACGTCGATAAATTATTTAAGAATTTAATAAAAATAGATAATAAAGCGTAAATTCAATGTATCTCTTAGCGTTAGACGAGCGCTCACTGCAAAAATGGTACGAAATTATTCACTCGCACTGCGACAATTGATCAAAACAAGCAAAGATTTGTCTGACCGACTAATGCATTCAACATTTGAACTCGAATGTATAATGAGGTATAAAGTACAGCTGTTTAGAACCCTCAAAGAGAAAATAAAAAATACACGCTTATCTCGAGTTTANTCTGCTCCTCGACCTCTCGCAGCTCGTCCTCCAGCTTGCGGATGTCGGCCTGGTGCGCCTCGTGCGCCTTCCGCGCCTGCTCCAGAGTCTTGATGGCGCTCTCCAGCTTTTTCTGCGTGTGCGTGACGCGCTCCTTCGCCTTGATGAACGTCGGCCGCTTCTTGGATATCTCCGCTTCCTGTTGAATGGGTTATCGATGAAGTTGAATGCTTACGTCGATAATGAATTTAATTAAGTGTAAATTCAACGTATCTCTTGGCGTTATACGAGCGCTCACCGCAAAAATAGTACGGAATTATTCACTCGCGCTGCGAGAGTTGAGGCGATCGACACAAGCAAATATTTGTATCTGTATAGAATCCTCGCGCTGACGTGTCGCGTAGTCTGACTGACTAATGTATTCTGTCTCGCTTGCACACATTTGGCAAGAGCTAGTACATCCGACATTTGAACTTGAATGTGCAATGTTCGCCTCAACTTTCGCTACGCGACCTACAAAGTGCAGCCGTTTAGAATTTCAAAGACCTCAAAGACAAAATAAAAAAGACATGCTTATCACGAGTTTAGACTTAAATATCTAAAGTCCGGTCGCAGAGCATATAGAATTTTGTCCAATGACTCCAAGCTACTCATCCTTATTACTCGCACGTAATTATATTGCAGGGAAGCGCTGGACGCAGGCCGCTACCAATCGATCAACATGGCAAGCATTGGGGGAGGCCTATGTTCAGCAGTGGACGTCCTATGGCTGAAATCATGATGATGATGATATGGCGACTGTGCGACGGGCGGCCGCAGTGAGTGTGCGAGCACGACAGCAATATAATAACACGCGAGCGATAAGGATAGCTTGGGGTCATTGGACGATTTTCTATCTGCTCGGCGACCGGACTTTAGCTGCAGCGTACTGACCACTTCGCGGATGTCCTGGTCGATCTTAGCGAGCTCGCGCTGCACGGCTCCAGCCTCCTTTTTCTTGTCCTTGAGAGCGTCGTCTTGCTTGGCGCGGCGCTTCTCGGCCTTGGCCAGCTCGGCCTGCTTGTGCTGAAGCTCCTCCTCGTAGCCCTGGATCTCTTTCTCGTTGTGGTACAGGTGGAACAGCTGGAGCTCCACCTTTTGTTCTTGCTGTTGGGATAAGATAAGAAGTCAGCGAGTGGTATTGGTAATCGGACCTTAATACTAGATTTAAATAATTTTGACAAACAACTTGAAAATTTCGAACTGCCTAACCCAATATATCTGTAGAATGTTTAACGGTGGTACTACCCAACATTGATGAAATAAAACGCGGCCGTAACTGCGTATTACATTTGAAAATTTCGACGGGTTCATCCAGTATCTAAGTAGCTCAGTTGGAATAGCAGTCACCCGGCAAGCGAAAGGTCGTGGGTTCGATTCCAGCCTTAGGCAGTTCGATTTTATAAGTTGTTTATTTAAAATTTAGTTTGAAAAGTGACTCTAATCGCTAAGAAATTTTAATAACGATTAAATAATCTTTGAGAGTGAATAATATTTCAAATATCTACAAGCGCCTGTAAATCAACTTATGGCTTTCCCGCGAAAGAGAGCGGAAGAGTCACACGAATCGCCCTCGCGTGTGGGTTGCGCAATGCGCATAAACTTTTCACTGAACGTTACAAACTTACAAGGCTGACAAACCTCGCTCATGATGAACGCGACTCAATCAAATGTGACTCTGACATCATTTTACAACCTACTGAAAATCGGTCTCCAGGGTTTCAGTCTTGAAGTAGTCGGCCGTTTGGTGTAGTGGTTCGAAACGGACTACTATTCCGGAGGTAGCGGGTTCGATTCCCGCACAGTACAAACATTTGTGTATGAACATATTTGTTTGTACTGGACTGGGTGTTTTCTACGTATAAGTAAGGTTTTGAGTAAGGTTTTGTTGCGATGTCCGAGAGCGAACATGAGGTCATGTGATTCATTTGCCATTTCTTCTTGCCGTACTAATTATGCGATGAACCGATTTATTCTAAGATCAATGAAATTGTATAACTCCAAATACTGTCACTTAGATATTTTCAGCCTAAAACCAAACAAATTTAGGTCGTTGTTAAAACAGTAATTACCTAACTATTTATTGTCTTAACAACGATGCGATATTTCGAGTTTAAATTAATTGCCAAGTCATAGTATATTTAACATAGAATCTAAAAAAAATATTTTCTTTTTCTGTTTCTGTTTACTCAATTTTTAAAAACGATACCTAGCTATGTATAAACTATTTGTGAAAACTATTTTGGCAAATGTGAAGTTTAATTGGTAACTCTATATGTGTTATAGAATGCTGTTTGTTTTCCTAACAATAAAATAAATAAAAATAATAAGTATGTATGTATTTACAAAAAAAAGTATTTAAGTATGTTTATATCCATTGTCTAGTACCCATAGTACAAGCTTTGCTTAGTTTGGGACTAGAAGCGCAGTGTAAAATGTCTAAGGATATTTCTATTTATTATTTATTTATTAGTTATCGGTTCTAGCTTTACCTGCCCGAGAACCTTAGAAAAGTGAACTGAATGCTTTACTGAAAGTTCCGCGAAGGAAAAAGAAATAGAGACAGGCAAGCAAAAAAAGGGAGGATGATATCCGCGAATTAGCAGGGCCATTATGGCCACAAATAGCTAGAAACAGAAGCATGGAGATCATTGTAGGAGGCCTATGTCCAAGGACAAACTGGAGATGAGTGTAGCTAAATAGTAAAATAATGTTGTAAAATATCTTTTAATCCAGTAATAAAGGCTTTAAATTTTATTTTATTTTATTTATTAGAACAACCAACAAGACAAACACGCATACATGAAATTACTTTAACTAAAAGTGCTTAAAACTAAGTGCTGTCTTAATTAAAGGCTGCCACGGCATGCAATGTGGACTGTTGCAAATATAAGAACTAAAAGATAGTAGGTAACACAGTGAAAAAGTGAAATGTAATGAACATTATGAATCTTTTACATTATTTGCTGTGGCTGTAAGGGACCTCAGCACGGAGCGCCTGAATTTCAATGGCTTATGATAAAAAATGTCGACGTCACATGGCTTATATTATTATTATAATACTAGCTTTCCGCCCGCGGCTTCGCCCGCGTGGAATTTTGTCTGTCACAGAAAAACTTTATCGCGCGCGTCCCTGTTTCAAAAACCGGGATAAAAACTATCCTATGTTCTTTCCCGGGACTCAAACTATCTCTATGCCAAATTTCATCAAAATCGGTTGCGAGGTTTAAGCGGGAAAGCGTAACAGACAGACAGACAGACAGAGTTACTTTCGCATTTATAATATTAGTTGGGATAGTTGGGATAAGTAAGCATCTCACCAGCTCCTGCTTGAGGCGCGTATATTTCTCGGCCTCCTCCTTCTCGAACTTGGCCTCCTTGCGCTCGGCCGCCACGCCCTTCTTCTTCTGGTACGAGAACTGCGCCTCCTCGTCGGCGCGGTTCACCTCCGCGCGGCACGCCTCGTACTGCTCCTTTAGCACGCCCGACCTGCAAACATTTCGATGGGTGCCTGGAATAAAGCCGCAATAGCCATAGCAGCAGTTTTCCGATTAAGTGATTTTAGTAAACTGCGAGTCCCTATACACCTTTTGAATTTTTTTCAGAATTTTATTTTTGAAACTGCCTGATTTACCAAAAGCACTATGGATATTGAATCGTTATTCCCATTCATCATTTAAAATTTGTTGACCGGAATAATCGTGCCATATAAAATGTTAAATCTTTTATTTAAATCTTCTACAAGCAAACGGCTATTACTGTATCCTTCAGATCAGTGCCTGAGGCTGCAATGCACTATTGCCGTTTGATTAATTGCACACTTTTTACCGGAATAAAACCACAATGGACTCTTACGGAACCGACTTTCAATGTATGAAGCGGCAATATTGTATTTCTACCTTTTTTAAAGTATATTCTAAGCACTATAACCTTAANTTTTTTGAGTTTGTTTCTATGCACCTCTGACGATTGCATATCAGAGACTTTGCTATTTTTAGGTTTTAATTTTTTGACTGGTGTGTTTTTAAAAGGTTTAGTTAGATTTTTTACCAGTGTTTATTTTCTTGAAGGTTTTGTTTTAAGTAATTTTTATTTAGTTTTCTGAAGAATACTTAGTTTAATTTTCCGTTTTATCTGTTTTATTAATATGCCAAAAAGGTTTTCTGTTGTTCTGTTTATTGCTTGTTTTGATTTGCGATGATCGGTTTTAGGACTTCCTTTATCGTTACATTTTAACTATTATTTTAATTTCTAGGTTAAGTTTGCAGGTTTTTCTTTAAGTTATTTTCTCTAGTTTCTATTCTAAAAATTTGCCCATCTGTACACTTTTCTTTAATGTTTTTCTAGAGTAATCTCATATTACTTAGATAACATTGGTGTTATTATTGTTTTTGTGTGCGCCTTTATGCTATAGTGTTCAGAGTGGGCTTTGATTACAAATAGTTCTAATATTCTCATGATATTGTCTTCTATTTGATTAATTTTTGATAATTTTGAATTAAATACTGTTTCTTTTCCGAATTCTAATTTACATGCCAAAAGTGTGTAGTGGGAATTTTGAATTTTTACAATTAATCGACTTTTCAACTTGATCTTGTGTTTTTCAGAAGTACAACGACGACGATCGAGGCAGTTGAAGACCAAGATAGTTGTGAGCTGGATGGAGTTATCGCCCGGGGCAACCTTAGCAGTACGCCACTGTGGATCTGGCCAACGCATCCCACCGCCTGCGCACTGGGCAGTCGTTGCTGAATGCGTTGTGTTGGACGTGCTCCGCTTTGGCTCGCTGACAGTTCCGGCACGACGGTACCCCGCCANGCTCCGCTTTGGCTCGCTGGCAGTTCCGGCACGACGGTGCCCCACCAGCGAGCTTCTCGGCGCAGTCGACGCTAAGGTGTGGCCCTCCACAGTGGCTGCAGACATCCGCGGGCTCCGTGCAGAATCGCTTGCTGTGGCCGTAACCCAGACACTTGGTGCACTGCACCAGCGGTGACTGGTCGGCCACTCGGATGTGCTGCAAGTCGATGTGCACGGTTCCCGCCTCAGTCGCTCTCTGCCAGATTGCCGGCGATACGCTCACAACTATGTGACGTGTATGGGGGTTTCTGGCTTTCTTTGTGTATCTTACTTGGACGCGGTCCTCCCCCTCGCGGAGTTCATGAAAAATACCCCTGTTCTGGTTGCGAAGAGCCTTCAGGACGTCCTCGTCGCTGTTAAGCAACAGGACGTCCTTCAGGACTAGAAGCGGGTCTTTATTTTTCATGTCCTCCGCGACTAGGAGGCCCCCGTCCACTATTCTAGCCTTTACTTTCCTCCTTTCTTCCTCTGTGCTACACCCCATAATAATCTTTTGATCCTTGGCCTTTCTGATCTTGTCGACCTTTACCCATCCCTCCTTAGCGTTGACGGCGTCCCTGACCTTCCGCAGCACCTCCTCCCCTGTCTCCATCGCGTCCTTAGACGTGACCACGATGGAGTGCAGGGCCGACCTAACAGGCAGGCGCTGCTGTCCGGGCACGGACGCCGCGACGCTGGCATAGGTGGTCGACGCGTTGCAATAAGTCTTCTGTTTCTCCGCCTCCTCCTTAATTTCGTCCAGCTTCCTACTATTTACCAGCAGGAGTCTCCTGTTCTCTCTAATCTCAGCTAGTATGTCTTCCTCTTCTACTCTTTCCTTCTCCCTATCCGCTTCCTTCTCTTTTACAGGTTCAGGCTCGGCCATCTTCTTCGCNGTCAATCCTACACTCCTTCTCCCTATCCATTTCCTTCTCTGCGGAAGGCTCGGGTTCTGGCTCTGAAACCTTCTTCCCCGAGACCTTCCCTTTCCTCTCAATCTCGGCCTCTTTGACTAGCTGGTACAGCCGATCCAGAGCCTGGATGACGTCTGTCTTGATGTCGCCGCGCAGGTTTCGTGCTGTGCCAAGGGACATCTTAGCCTTCTGCAGGCAGGCTCTGGCTTCGGCTGTCCTATCCTTTACAGCGGTGGCGGGGGGCTTCGGTGAGCTCGCCGACGCTGCCTCCACGGAAGCCCGGCGCACTGGCGCGGGTTTCTTGGGGGCCTTCGGTGGCTCGGCCTGCGGCGGGGTTGAGTCGGAGCCAGAGGAAAGCCCAGCTTTCCTTGTCTCCCACTCGCCGACGCTGCGTCTCACCTTGCCCGGCCTCCGGATAGGTGGGGAGTCAGGAGACTTCTGTTGGACTTCGTCGCTGTTCCTCTTAGCCGGCGTCCTGAAGCCGAACATGACGTCAGAGGTGCGCGTCGCCTAAACGAATGAGATAGGGCACTCATCATAGTCCGGTTTCTTCTTTAGTCTAAGCGCTGCCTCTTTCGCGAGCTCGTCCGCCCGCTCGTTTCCCTCCATCCCCGCGTGGGCCTTGATCCAGAAGAGTTTGATAGTTCTGCCGTTTTCAGCTGCCTCTTGGATGTTCTTTCTGGTCTGAATCACGAGAGGATGGAGAGAAACACCACGGGTGATAACCTCCAGCGCAGATCTGGAGTCGCTATAGATGCTAAAGGTTCCACCGGTCCTATGTGCCTTTATCATTGCAGTAGCCTTTGTGATTGCAAGCAATTCGGCCTGAAAGACAGTGCAGAACTCCTCCAGTTTGAGTTTCTTGACCATGGTCTCCGCTCCATCATTCCATAATGATAAGGCCGCGCCGACCTTTCCCTCAATTTTGCTTCCATCTGTGAAGACTTGAGGCCCGTCATTCACCCTCTGGATGAGATCTGCACTATCTTCCACCATTCCGAATTCAAGGTGTGCTATATTGGCTGGATGAGGTGCCCTTGCGTAAGGTATCGGCATCTCCACCACTCGGTCTTCTACTACCCTCCGGGAGTGCCCTTTCTTTATCTCATAAAGAGAGGCTGCCTCCCTGATCNCTGGAGTCCGAGGTCGCAGGAAGTCGTGCGAGGGCTCGTTCTTCTCGTCCCGTCGAGCTCTACACGCCCGTACGCTTCGCCAAAATAGGTAGAGTCCCAATTTGGGTGCTCTATATTCTGGTAGAGTCAGTGTCCTTTTGTGATGCTAGGACAAGTGGCGGATGTTATTTAGCCTGAAGCGTACCCGGATTGTAGAGCCCTTAATACTAACTCTCTCCCGGCTCTACCTAGAGTCTAAAGTTGTTAATGAAAAATGTAGCCCTCGGATAGCTAACCAATTTGCAAAAAACCCCGTTAAAAAAGACCGAATAGTTTCCGAGATATCGAATTTTAAAAATTTGACCTACTTTTAATTTACGTAATTACAATCCAAAAATGACCCCCCCTAATTTTGAATTTAGGATTTTGAAAACAATACTGTATGTTGAACCGGGAGAAAAAATAGCATTCACGGTGGAAAAACCTGAAAATGTCCCCTAGTTTTGATTTTATACCCCTTTCAAATTTTTGAACTTTTGGTTTGTTTACGTTTTTTGAATTTAAATACGCGCGAAATTTACAAACCAAAAATTCTGGGTTTTGACCTCTTGTTGCCAAATTTCCTACTCTATATTTTAACACTTTGAAATTCTCAAAAAACGCCGACCTTCAGGGTTTTCAGGCCTTGTTATTAAAAAATGAGCTAATTTATCTATTTAACTGCTGAAAAAGGTTTCTGTTAAGAATTTTACAATTTTGAAAACGTACTATTAAAAAGATGGGCTATTCTGAAGTTATCCAAATGAAATTAGAATTTTAAAGTTAATTTAAACCTATTTAATTTTACTTATTAATTTTTGCAAAAATTTAAAATATATCTTGTATTTTTATTATGAAATTTATATATAATTTTAACCTAAAATCTTAAACTAAGTAAAAATGAATTTTTTCCTGCAAAATAAAATTTTGAAAAAATTAACCCCTTAACCCTGAAAATTTTTTTTGAAAATTTCAAGTCTTAAATTTAAAAATTTTTTGAAATCAAAACCATTGACTTGACCCCTAGTTATCCTTAAAAATATAAAAAATGTGAAATACCTAATAGTTTTTATTTTATAACAATTTTAATACAGTGACCTGGTGATTCCCAACTTATTGGTGCATATTTTGGGCAAGTTCACTTTTTATTCCAGGCCCAAAATATTCCCCGATTTTGGCGACGCCCGGGATTTGATGGTGTCGTTGGATAGGGTGTAAAAGGCTCTATCGAACGACACTTCAATCAAAATTTTCGGACCACCCCTTCTAATATATTTTTGATTTACAAAATTTTGTTTACATAAAATCCGACCGCAAATAAGTTGGTAATCGTTTTTTTGACTATAATATGTTACTAAATTTTAATCTAAAAATGTGAATATATTAACTTAACCTTCTATTTTGAACTATAAAAATTTTACTAATATAGGGGGTGGTTTTCACCCTTAAACAATTTTTTCTAATTTTAAAATCTAAATAACTATTAAACTACTGGTTATATTTTCACCAAATTTTAAACACTTATAAAACTAAAACTTATCTTCAATGTCCAATTTTTTGTTTTAGGGTTGTCACCGCGGCGTCGACTCCAGGGCTGCCTCAAAGTTTGTAACGCTGA